TGTGAGGTGACCCCCCCAGGAAGGCAGCCTGCAGACAGGGCTGGGAAGCAGCTGGCCCAGGTTGACCTGGGTCCCCCCATGCGAGCCGGGAGCAGCCGCGGGGGCGAAGGTGTGTGGAGCGAAGCGGGAGGGCGCAGAGGCGTGGGTGAAGCGAGTGGGGAGGACGGTGCTGCGCCTGTAGGTCGCAGCGCTGTGCTGGGAAGTGAAGGATGGGCAGCAAGGCGTGGATCGTGTGCGGTGTCACCCAGCGGGGACAGCCAGGGAGTCACTGTGAGAACCTGCTTGGTAGTGGAAGAGGCTGCTGTTCTGGGAGGAGGGAGGACACATCTAGATATCTAGGTATGCCTTGAGTGCCAGCCCTTGTCAAGTGGCAGAAGGAACCTATTGCCATTATCTCTGGTGCTGGATTTCGTAGAAGAAGAAAAAGCCCTCTAGTCCTGTGCCTTGCTCTTACTCGGCTAAAAGCCCTCTCTTGTGCACTAGGTTTCAGTGGGGGCTGGATGGATGATGTTCCAAGGCAAGCCTGTCCCTCGAAACCAGCCTACCCATCATCTGGAGGGGGCAGGACATGTCTAGAGCCCCAGAGCAGCTGCCCTTGTAGTTAGCTACAGGCTGGGAAGGGGCAGTGCCCCACCAGGCTGGTTACAAGGAGGCACCGTGGGAGGGAGGGAGGGACACGGCCAGTGCTGCAGCTCCCCGTTCCGTGCTGCTGCTGGGGTTCACACTGCACTGTCCCGGAGAGGGGAGGAGCGCAGAGCAGCCTTGCCAGCACCGGCTGCACCGCGGCAGAGCTCTGGGCTGAAAGCTTTGGCCAAGGCAGCCTGAGCACACCGAAGGGCTGTGCTCATCCCAGCTAACGAGGGGACAATGCAAGCAAAGCATGGTAGCCCAAGCTGGGCCAAGTACGTGCCAGCTGCTCAGGCCGGGCTCAGTCCTGTCCTGGCCTCTGCAGTAAGGTAGTGCGGCAGGGAGGTGGAGTTGTCCTGGATTCACCCCTCTTTGGGCAGCTACAGGTGGCAGAGCCCGTGCCCCTCCTGGGTGCAGAGCTGCCTCCCTAACGCGTCTCCCTGCAGAGACATCCATGCCCCTTCCCATCCCTCCCTTTTCCTCCGCAGAGAAACCGTCTGCCGTAGCTAACAGCACCCGGGACCCGACCTGGTTTCTCCGTTCAGGCAGGGACCCAAGTTACCAGACATCATTCCAACTGGAAGGCAACATGACCCACACATGGGAGTGATTCCCAGTGTCAGTTTTGCCGTAACACATCCCATCTGTTTCTCTTTTGGTGAAAAAAAAAGCAACCCAGCCTGTATTCTGTGTTTTTATATATATATATTTTATATATATATAAAAATATAACTAACAATTGGGGGAGTGATTTTTCTCCTAATATTTTTTTAAAATGTTTCTTTTTTTCTATCTATAAATACTTGTACAGTTGGAATATTAATATATAACTCTGGCGGTAGAGCTCAGCACCAGGTGATGTTCACTTAAAAGACGTGTATTTTGTAATTAAGGGACTTTTGTTTTGTATCATATGCAACTGCAACAGATTGTTTGACTTGGATCGGGGCTGCTCTTCCCATCCGTGTAATTAATAAAGTACTAACGATATCTGCTGGCTGATGAGGAAACCTTCATGCTTAGCGATTCTCCAACACAGGAGCGTCCCAGAGCTGAGCCATGCGCTTTCTCGTGGGGCTGCGGAGCTGGAGGTAGTGCCGGTCAGGCTGGGGAGCCACGGGCATCCCTGTGCTGCCGGGGAGGGTCACGCGCTGCTGCCCTGCGGTGTCACCAGGGCAAAGCTCTTGCGGGACTCGTGCAGCTCCAGCTGCTTGGTCTGCAAACAGCCCTTCACCTTCTCCTGGAAGGAGGCGGTGGTGATGGTGTAGAGGATGGGATTCAGGGCGCTGTTGATGGGCAGGATGAAGATGACCACCCAAGAGGTGATGGTGCCTGTGCCAACAAGGACACGACATTAGTCAGCGGAGGGGGGGCTGCCCCCTGCCCGGGGGGAACCCACCTGCTCCAGCCCACGCAGCAAAGAGGGGCGATGCCATTTGTGGGCTGATGGCTGGAAGGGCAGCCCCCCCATGGGGGGTCAAGACTTCTGCTCCCTGGGGAGAGGTAGGGGCCCAGGGAAACCAGTAACGCTGCCTGCCTCCCCTTGCAGCCCGTGCGTGGGTGAAGAGAGCGCCAAACTCAGCAGCACCTACATGGAGGGGTCCCCGACCCAGGGACTCATGGCGAGCAGCAGCCAGCGGTGGGCTCTGCTTCAGGGCCCTGCGGGGAATGGGGGTTCACCTGGTATTTCCACCTGCAGCAGGGAGAGCAGCTTGAGGAGGAAGATGGGTATCCAGCAGAGAGCATCAGTGAAGACGATGAAGAAGAACCGCTTTGCGATGGTGACTTCCCGGGAGCAGACGCCTCTCTCCGCTGTTTTGGACGCAGTGATGTGGATGGAGTAAAACATGCCGGAGTAAGCAAAGACGATGGTGATGAAGGCTGCGAGATTCAAGCCTGGAGAGGAAGAAATCTCACTCTGAGCGTAGCCAAAGTGCAAACCTCGCGAGCTGGGATCGGCGGCATGGCTGGCGGCAGCAGGACGACTCCTGCTTTTATCACTAGAGGGGGCAGAGACATCTCTGCAGCCCTGGCTGGTCCTGAATCCGGCCTTAGCCCAGCAATGCCCATGGCCTTGGCCAGCTCTGGGGTGAAGCTGGGCACAGCACCAGGCTGGAGCAGGGACCCTCCCCACCCCGGGACAGAGGGCAGAGCTGGCACCCCCGTCTTACAGCGTCCCAGCGCGATGGCAGTGCCCCATAAAGTCAGACATCCCGCTAACGGAAGGAGTGCAGGCTCTCATGGCACCCTGGAGGGGCCAGCTGGGCTGAGCAGCCCCGCTCCCACCAGGGAAGCCCGTCCTGCCCCACACCGTCCCCATCCCTGGGTCCCAAGTCCCGAGGTGGCCTTACCCAGGTAGATGGTGGCAGAGTAGCCCCGGGCACTGGGCCGCTCGCCCAGGTCGGACTGCAACGGGAAGCACACCCCGTTCCTCCCGTAGTAGTTCCCAAAGGACTCCTTACACCATAGGGGGATGATGCTGAGGGAGAAGCCCAGAAGCCAGATGGCTGCTAGCACCGAGATGGTCTGCTTCTTGCCAGCTCTGTGGTGGCTGAACGGGAAAACGATAGAGAAGTATTTCTCCAGGGTCATGTAGGTCAGCAGCAGGACTGACACCTCAGAGGACAGCATGGCCAGGCTGCCCACCAGCTGGCACTGGAGGCTGCCCATCCAGCCCTGGGCGTGCTTGTTGAATTCGCCCGAGTACTTGAGGTCAAAGGCTCCGATGACGAAGAGGTAGATGCCCATCAGGCCATCTGCACCTGGGAGGGGAGACAAGGTACAGTGAAAAAAAAGCACCAGTGGGCAGGTGTAGCCCTTTGCACTAATGCCACGGCCATAAAGCCATCATAGAGCTGGGCAGCCTTTGGATTTATGCATATATGTATAAAAAAGAGCTGCCTGCTGGTGCCTGTGAGCACAGGCCTGAGGGCAGGGGCTGAGATGCCCCAGGCACAGAGGAATGCCCAGAAACCCGTCTGCCGTCAGCACAAAGGGAAAAATGGGCAGCGAAGGGGCCCTGGCTGCACTGGGGAGGGCTGGCATCAGCTAGACTGCTCCTCCCTCGGGAGATGCTGGGGGCAGCTCATCCGCCCCGGTTTCCCCTGCGCCCCCCCACCGGTCCCTGCCCCTCCTCCGCCCAGCTCACAGCACAGGGACTTGATGGCCATGGTGTGCTGGCTGTTCTCCGTGACGATGAAGGACCGCGTGCAGATGACGAAGAGGTTGCCGAAGCAGGTGAGGCAGGCGATGACCCAGACGAAGACGCGCAGGATGACGTTGGCCAGGAGGTTCTCAAAGGAGGAGATGCCATCGGTGTTGGGCTTGCAGCTCCGCACGTGGGGCGCATAGCTGCAGTACTGGAACTTCTTGAAGTAGCTGTCAGGGCGGGGAGGGGGGAGGAAGGTTTCCTGGCTGCCACTAGGACCAGGAGCAAACATGGTCCGGCATGCACAGCCCCCCTGCCCTGCACCCTGCGCTCTGCCTGCCCCCGCCAGCTCCCTCCAGCCCCTC